AACCAGGGGTTGTCTCGTCCCTTTATTCTGAACTGACAAAAAGGAGCATGTTTATTCACAAAATAAATGAAACTATTATGAAAATAGTTCCAAGCGGAGTTCACGTCATCAGTTAATAAAATACGATGCCAGTCCAAGTGGGATAGATCCCAGAGGAATGACTGTTCACAAAAATGTTTCAAATTCCTTTTTTGAATTTATCTGGGCTTAGAAGGTGGAAGTATAATGTCTCCAACAACCGCTATTACACAATGATTACTCAAAACGTCAGCGAATACACCTGTACCAGGGAATTTGTGAAGCATATTTGTTAGAAACAGGTCTAAGATGGAAGATTTTTGAGGACAGTTTTTGTTTGGTCTAGTGGGAGAGTCGATCAGTTGGGTTTGATTAAGTGATAGGCCACATTCCTTGAATTTATCACTGAGGGGGGTCGACTTATCCCAGTCAATGTTGAAATCTCCTGCCAAAAAAATCTCTTTGAATTTTACATTTCCAAAGAATTCTATCAGGGAGGACGGAGCCTCAGATGTTGCTGAGGGGGTGGGGGGGACGATAACAACACACTACAGATAATGTTCATGTTCTAGAATTGCGCCGCTCAAGGTGGCTGCATGTTGGAGCAGCTCTGTTACTTTCATTCTGAGATTTTGCTTTTGGAAACTTTAATTCCTCTTATTCTGGATGTAAATCACATTTTTAGGATGATGGTTTCCTCTGATATCAGATGCTGTGCAGCTGGAAGGATTTTTACTGAAACTTTTTTAGTTTGGGACATTTGTTATGATGCGTAACCATGGCAACAAGGCAGTTTTCTACAACCAACAGCAGCTGATTAACAACTCAAAAGCTCAAATAATATCTCAGCTACAGCCCCAAATCTCAAATGAGTTGAAAAGGATGGTCTGTGGATGCATTCTCATCTACCTGCCAGCTGTGCTTAAGTGCCTGACCACTGAGATCCTAGAACTAGCAGGAAACACGGCTTATGACAGCGGAAGGACAGGATCATCCCTCGGCACCTACAGTTAGCTGTCCGCAGTGACAAGGAGCTCGGCAGACTGCTGGGAGGAGTGGCCATCGCTCTGGGAGAAGTTCTGCCCGACATTCGGGCGGTCCTACAGCCCCAGAGAACTGAGAGGCCAGCCGAGTCTGGGTGGACGGATCGGACAGCATCTGCAGCCAGTTTCTTAGGATCCACTGTGGGATGAACCTTTACAAGAGATCCTTCCTGTCTACAGCCATCAGTATCTATAATATATTTGAATGAAATGAGGATAACGAGTTACAACAACAAATAATTTCCCTTTGGGATTAATAAAGTATTTTTGAATTGAATTGAATTGAATAAGATCTGGCCTCCATTCAAGGTGATGTTTATAGCTAAGGTCTCAAACTGGTTTGGGATTGTTTTAGCAGACACAAGGCTAGAAACCAGAGAATCTTTGATGTAAATAGCGACTCCACTCTCCCCCACTTTTTTTGACGATCACAGCGATAGATGTTAAATCCATTGATTACCAGGTCATTATTTAGTACAGATTTGTTGAGCCAGGTTTCAGAGATGAAGATTACATCTGCCCCAGAAGAACTGACCAGAATTTTCAAGGCATCAAGTTTTCTCAGAAGGCTACGTGCGTTTACATGAAGAAAATGAAGTCCTGACAGGTTTTTAAAGTAATTTGGTGTCCTATATATAGTGGGGGGTCCAGGGTTGGGCTGAATCCCTGACAGCAGTAGCAACATTATTATCAGACATTTTCTTGAGTTTTTCGTGACTAATGTGTAATTACAGGAGTTAGTAGTGTGACAATTAGCCCCCATAATTGAACCATGAGAAACAGTAATGAAGACGCGATCATTCAGAACCCAAAAACAGTTAAAGTTGCAGTGATGGTGGATCCAGGTGTATTAACAAGATTCAGTGACTCCAGATAGTCTGAGATCTGAAAATAATGGCAATAATATGAATGGTGCAGAAAAGTTTAAGACCATAAAGCTTCACAAATCAAATGGGCAAACAAATCCAACGAGGTGGCCCAACTGCAGTTTGAGTGGGGCTGAGGGGGGCTCCAGCCCCCCTGCGAAGATGGATGATCCCATGAGAAACAGAAGCTGAGTCCAGAATCAACAGGCAGAAACAGATAATTTGTAGCAAATAGCAGAGCGAGCTGCCAGAAAAACCTACTGAAATGAAAGGCATGGTCCTAGCTTGTTTCAGGTCAACATGAGACAACAGCGTGATCCGGAATAAAAATTATTTATTATCCTGGTGCGTTTGGATATAAGCCTGCAGCAACTCCAATGTAAACTCTAGACTTCTCTCGAGTACCACACAGCGCTGCTCCTCTGCGCTTCACTCCTCTTCTCTGCAAGTCACTTCCACACCCGACAGCATGAGAGGACACCCCTGGTGAAAAATGACAAGACTGACCTGAAAGGCTGAAGTCGTCACTGGTCCGGTTTGGTTCTGCTCCAGTTCGGCTCCGGTGCTCCACAGCAAGAGAGGCTATATCCAGTGAACAATGAAGAAACTGACCAAACTGGCTGAAATGGCTGAAGTTGTCTCTGGCCCAGTTCTGGCGGCGCTTCAGAACATCTGAACATCTCCTTCAGGCAAACACAGCAATTCCACTGAGGTGGACAGTTCTTTGTTTAAAGGTAACAGGCTGCTCACTGAGGCTGAGACCAGCTCTATTTAAGATGAAGTCCCCCACAGCCAACTCGGTTCAGTTCTGGTCCTGTTCAGGGGACACAGGTACACGTCCCCCACACCAATGAAGACACCACAAGGGGCCAGTCCAGCAGAAAGCCAGCGAAAAAGCCAGCAAAATACCACCCAGCGATTCTTGTCGGAACCAGGTAGAGCCACAAAGGTCCAGATGAGAAGGTCCAGGTGAGAAGTTTGTTGGGGTCCAGAGAGAGAGAGAGACAAATCACTGGACCTTCGTGTGACAACTCCCCAGCTCAAGGGATCACCTGGTCGGTAGGGTGAGCTCAGAGTGACCGGTGGGATGGGAGCGTCCGGTCCTGGAACGAAATAATTTTTGGACGGTCTCGTCCGGCTCTCTGAGTCACTGAACACCGAATTCAGTTGGAAGGGGACCAACTTTAGTCCGGTTTGAAAAACGGGTCAGTTTGATGATAAAAGACTACAGAGAAGCCGGAGGGAGCTGCCGTCCATCAGCTTACCGGAACCGGAAGTGTTTGAGTATTAGTAGTGTAGATGAACATATACTGTGATATATTCATAAATTAAACAGATTCATTCATTTTTCTGGACTGAATAATATCGTGTATTGAATCTAATAAATGTAACGTGAGGCGTTAATTTTCTTTGACCCATCAAATGAATGTGGTCATTTATTTACAGAATCAAAGTTTAACACATCACACATTTACATTAATTTGGCAAAATTGAAAATAACAACAGGTTAATTAATCAGTTTACAATTAGAAGACCATACGGCGATGGTTGAAAACCTTGCTTCCAGCTGTACAACAGACATTTCTGAAAATATCTGGAATGATTTCTAACAGATAGAAGAGTTTAAAGATGGAAAATGAAGTTTATCTTGAGAGAGATGGGTGAGGGAATTTGTCTGTTATAACCAGAACAACACGCTCCTTCTGGACCCAGCTTTCCTCGGTACGCTCGGTAGTAAACTCGACTCATTACCTCTCTGACGATGAATCAGCGGATACGGAGTTCCAGTTAACGCTACCGGTCCAGCGTCTCCGTAGGATAGTAGGGAACCGTTCGGAGTCGTGAGATCATCCAGAACAGACTTCATAGTTCCTCTGAACTTCTCTCGTTCAGCTTAGTTGCAGATGTCCTGGGCATTCTGCATTCCAGCATTCTGAACTCTGCTGCTCTCGGAACTAACTCACAGCATTCTCCCAGCGTTCTTCTCAGCGTTCTTCTCAGAACTTCTCAGAACTTCTCAGAACTACTGAACTTCTCAGAACTACTGAACTGCTTTGAACTAGGAAGTGTTGCACCTTTTAAAAGAGGTCACTTCCGGTTCATTTGAGACCTTTCTGATTGGTCGATGGACCAACAGATGTGTGTTTTTGTGATGTAAGAGGTTATTAAAAGTCAAGGAAAAAGATTAAGCTTGTTTAAGAACAGACAGAAGATATTATGAAGATTCCAGACTTCGTGGAGTCAATTCTCTAGTATCTTTCTGTAAAAGTTAAACATGACATTTCTTTTCAGTAAACTTGCAGTTGACCGAAACTTGACCTTTGACCAACTTCACAATTTGCTCATTGAAGACAGAAAATCAGACAATGCATCATTAACCTGATTTCTACTTTGAATGAGGATAAAAATCGCTAATACTGTTTCACAGCGGATTTAAAAATGATTAGTTCACTTCAACATTTAAAAATGGTTTGAACTAAACACAATTTGATTATCAAAACATTTGTAAAATAGTAATGATAATAGAAAAGAGAGTGTTCTTTCGATTGATCAGTGCAGGACACTTAGAAAGTCTCTGGATGAACTTAATCTTGTGTTTCTGGACTCAAATCAATGAAATACAGTTCTTGTCCCAGGAAGGCCCCTCAAGGCCAGGACTTGACCTGAGGCTTAGTTCACTACAGTAGTTAGTATTAGTAGTAGTGTTTGAGTAAAGTGCTTTTAATATCTTGATAAGATAGAAAAACACTATATAAGTGCAGACCATTTTTCATAAAATAATTAATAAAATGAGTTAGTTTGTTTTCAAAGTATAATAAACAAATTTGGACAAGATGGAAGTATGTGAGAAATGTAGCTGCCAGGAAAAAGACAAAGAGGAAAGCCAAAGAGGAGATATGTGGATGCAGTTAGAGGACATGGAGTTAGAGTAAGGACAGAGGATGCAGAGGACAGAGTGAGAGGGAGGAGGATGAATTGCTGTGGCGAGCCCTGAAGATGGAAATGCCACAAACAAGAAGAAGAAGAAGAAACAAACAAAATGAACATTTGCACGCACACTGAATGTCCTTACCTTACACTCTCCATTGATACAGATGTCCATGGAGTCGGCCTGACATCGGGTGCCATCAATGACTGTGGGGGAGCGCTCTGTGTAAAAGTTATAACCCTCTGCCAGGCAGTTCAGCGCACATGGCTTAACACCACCTGGAGAACACAGGATGCACACACACGCGCGCACACCCCCACATAAACATACACACAACACATCATTAGCTCAAACTTAGCCTGCACACAGAGCAGATAGCATCACCCTGTCGCTGAACTCTGAGCCAGCTCCAGGACATCCTCCCCACTCATGTGCAGACAGATTCAGCATTCACACTATTGTTTTACTCTTTACACTTTCTTCTGTATGTTTGTAGAAGTCCAACTGCCATTTCAATTGTGCTAGTTTAACCAATTGTATACCAAAACGTTCAGTTTGATCAGTCATAGTCAAGTGTCTTATGACTTTTGGATTTTGTAAAAGCTGGAGCAGTGGCGCAAACTGTCACGGTCAGCGGCCCCCGCTGCCCCCCCATCTACCAAGCCTCTGCCACCTCCTTCAAGCTTATGTCAC